CTTGGCTGGTCCTTTGCTGGTCCTTTGCTGGTTCTTGGCTGATCCTTGGATGGTCCTTTTCTGGTTCTTGGCTGGTCCTTTTCTGGTTCTTGGCTGGTCATTGGCTGGTCCCCTACAATTCCTTTTTAAACATCTAAGATATTTTTTCTGTCATGATTTGTGGACATTAGGATCTAAAGAGAAGCGCCATCTCCTGGTCAGACCCTGTAATTCAGTGAAAGGGTGGAGTCAGAGTAAAAAAATATGCAAGAGGGAGTCACTGCAATGGCTGGAAGCTGGAGGGGATTCTGATTGGAGTTGCAGGGAAGTGGGCTGCCATTCGGCTGGTGTTTGACTGGTAGGGGCCTTTTTGAATGGCTGCTACTGTACATCAAAATCCACAAAATGCGCTCGGCAGTCTGCACATCAGTCTTTTACTTTTTATCTCGACTGGAGCCACTTTGCTTGTCAGCCGCTAACTGCTGCTAAATAATCCGCTCTGCTCTAGACTGGCGTGGATTTGGGGCGACAGTGGCGTTGGATTAGGAGTTTGCCCTGAAATGGAAGGGTTGACAGTTCAAGCCCCCAGCTCAGGCTTTCAATGTTGTGTACGGCAGCCTGGCTTCTGCCAGTGAGCCCAGGGCAGCTGTGCCTACCACGTAGCTCACCATCATCAGTGAGTGCAGGAAGGACTGAATGTAGTGTAAAGTCTCCTGACTTGAAAAAATGCGATATAAGTTCATGAATTTACCATTTAAAGCAGGAAATAGAAACAGCTGCCTGTTTTAGAGCAGAAGGCAGTTTGTGTCGGTACAGGAAGTCAGGCTCATCTGAAGTGTGTGAAGTGATCCCTGCTCTGATTTACGGTCATTCGGGCAACAATGACAGAAGGGTTTTAACTTGAACTGAAAACACGTTTGAAGTTTCTTGTGTCTCTCTGTTGAGCTAGAAGAGGAGGGAAAGCAGATGTCATCTCTTTAGCGTCTACCAACCTGTTTTTGCCTTTACTTGGTGAAAGTGATGTGAGGTATCTAGGTCTGAAACAATTAATCTGATAAATCTTGATTAATCGATTATTGAAATAAATGTCAACTTATTAATTTATTGATTAATAATTAACTGGAGAATAAAGACTCTAAAACATGGCTTTAGGTGACAGAGTGACCCACTTAGAGCAGGAATTATACCAAACTTGTAAGTTTTAATCTTTTGCACTTAAGATTAATGGATTTCCCAGGTGAACGGAGCTCTGGGTGCTTGGATCTGGAGTAAGTCATTGACGGCGTCTGAAACCTTTTAACTGTAGTTTTGCTCTTCAGATGTTCTCTCTTCTCTCTCTTTCTGCAGGTACATCAGATCTGAGCGCTCCGTCATCCTCATCAACTTCTGCCTCTCCATCATCTCCTCCAACGCCCTCATTCTAATTGGACAGACCCAAACCAGGAACAAGGTTGGACCTGATGGGAGGCCATGTTTCCTGACCCGGTAAACAAGCGGACAGACGTTCACTGCAATCTCTCTCTGTGGTTTCAGATCTTATGCACCCTGATCGCAGCGTTTCTCCATTTCTTCTTCCTGTCCTCGTTCTGCTGGGTTCTGACGGAGGCCTGGCAGTCATACATGGCGGTGACGGGCCGCCTCAGGAATCGGATCATACGGAAGCGTTTTCTGTGTCTCGGCTGGGGTGGGATTTCCGACCTCTGTCTACTTCCTGCTCTGCTCTCCCTCCCTGAAAGTTAACATCCTTACTGCTGTTGCTCTTTCCTGCCAGGTCTCCCAGCTCTTGTCGTTGCCATCTCTGTAGGATTCACCAAGGCAAAGGGATATGGAACGCCAAGCTAGTAAGCATGTTTTCACATTGATTAAACAGTGTACAGCTCCTCTTTACTTATTAATTCAGTAATTCAGTAACTTTTCAATATGCCAATTCACATCATCTCAGGTCACTTTAGAGAGAATTCAACCAGATCATCCAGTCAGACTGATTAAAAGTTTTCTATCTAAAGAAAACCAGCTGATTGTATCGACTCGGAGGTAATCAGCTGTCAGTCAGAGGATGAAGAGAACAAATCCAGTTAGTCACAGTCAGAGAAACAGGACTACACTGGAAAACAGGCCAAGCTCCAACATCTAGAAACAAAGGTGTTGATGGCAGCAGCACAGC